AGTTAAGGAGTAAGTTAAACTGTAACATCCAGGTTTTAAATAGTCTGTAACATTCCGTTTCTCTTTTAGATAATACTATGTACAACTTTCTCAATCAACAGAAGTATTTCTCTTCTGAAAAAACGGCTTTAAAATGTTCTATGTCTTTACCCCCACTTCCAAAGGCTGACATTTTCTTTTGGCACATAATAGCTAAACATAAATACTTACTTAATAATCCTCCCAACTTCTCTAGAGTCAAACACTGCTTTGATTTTAATTCTGCGATTTTTTACTTTTAAAAGCATGTCAGGTATCAAGCCCAGGCGTGTAGAGTTCTTAGCTATATGCTAAGAGACATGTAATCTTGGGAAACAGAAGTGGCTCCTGTGTTCTTGTTTGTGGGTTAGAAAAGCTAATAAAAGCATAACTTTAAAGAAAGTGAAAATGTTGTGGAAAATATAACCTGTGATTAAGATTACTTAATTCATTAACTAAAAAGAAATTCCAAACGGTTTTTAAAACTCATTTCTTTCTGGTTTATTTTTCTATGTAAAATACAACATAGACAGAAAACAACAAAAGAAGGAAATTGATAATCTTCACAATTTCATTTTAAAGTGTGGATTTGCACTGCACTCCTTTTAGAACTTATAATAAAGATTGAGCAATCAAATATAATATTCTTTAACAAGGGATGAAGCAGGGAAGTTTGTGATTATTAGGAAAATACAGGACTTACCATGAAGATGGCCAGAGCCCCTGTGGTTGTGGGCAAGAGCCCCATCATTGTCTCTGATTTCCCTGGTGAACAAGTCCAAGTGAGCCGCTGCTTCTATCCTGCCAGCCGTCTGCAGATGATGGCTAAGAAAAGCCCTCCGTGGCGTCTCGTCTCTGCTGCCTTCCGAAGGAGTCTACAGATGGTCTGTTATGCAGTCCCTCCCCACCCTAAACCAAGGGTAGGTCTCACCAGAAACGCTTGCATCACCTTTGCTCCCAGGTAAAAACTTAGCCACACCTCAATTCCTAAAGCAATGAAATCCTTTGTTGGAAGCTGAAAGAAAAGTTCACAGGCTAAAGACAAAGTTTAATAGGAAGGTACCAGATGAATAGTAAATTAATCATGATGCAGAAGTGCAAAAGCTAGTCCGGACTACACTTTGTCAGTGTTGATGTCTTATGGCTGAATCTAGCTGACTATGGTTACAATGAAAACCGAAAAGCAAAGCAAAACATACAAAATCCCCCAAAATCTAACTTGTAAAAGAGCATTTATTTTCAGCCTGAGTATGTGTGGGTAGATCTAAAGTTAAGCAAAATGTAGATGTTAAGAAATGATATATTTTATTGAAAGGCACTAAAAATATGAAGAAAAGAAAAACATCCCATTAAGCAACTACGAATGTAGGCTTTGAATTAAAAAAAAAAAGAAATAAAGTTGAACAGTTGTATGGTGCTTTGGATATTTGAAATATATAAATAATGCATTGCAAAATTACTCCACTAATATTCAAATGCCATCTTTTATGCTGTATTTCTTTTCATTTATAACTTTCAAAAAAGCCTAGATTGCCTAATAAGGTAGATTATCTTGATGCTCTTTTCATTACTCAAGACATTTTCCCCAGTGTGGTGAACCTGCTTGCTGTTACATAGTCGGAGGTGCTTAAATATTTCGACTCTAACTCAAGATAAAGCAGAGGGGAAAAATTACCAGCCCCATTTTAGCTACTTTGCTTATAACATTAGAATTTAAAGTACTTTTTACAGTTTCAGAAATATTGAAAGAAAGGTTTGGTGGAAGAGCAATTTTATCTTTGAAGTATTACACATCAGGTTTTAGAAACCACTTAATCACAGAGTGTTTTTGTTTTTTGCTTTTTTTGAAT